TGGAAGATAATCAAATAATTTGTTTTTTCTTAAAAAAAAAAAAAAAAGTTTTACAAATTGAAAATATTTCCAAGAAAATGAGATTCCGACTTTTGTCTCGTCTAGCATTTTTTATTGCAACTAAAACCGATAAATTCATATTATTCCTTTAATAGCAGAAGTTATCTAGATGTGCCAGTTATCTTGTTTCAGTTGACGGGACACATTCACCGAACACTAAGTGATAAATCAACCGATATGTCGACGAAACTGGATTTCGAAATCTGCATTATTTAAATGCAGCGCACTTTACGCAAGCGAGCCACGTTTCGTTCCGAAAAAAAATCACCGTGCGACGACAATATTGGATAATTTGTTCGCATCATCGCAAATGTAACGTTGCCATGGAATATTAATTATTTAATTCATATATAGAATATTTTCCTGTATATGAAAAATATTTTACATATTTCTATCGGAGTTCTCTCGTTTCATATGGAAAATATTTGTAAAATGTAAAACGTGCAAAATAGTAAAAGATACACACGCATAGAATTACAGGCATGATAAAAAAGGTATCGACAAATGAAAATAATAATATAACACAGTAGCGTTTAAATAATTACAGAGGGAAAGTTAGAAAATGAAAGAGTTTGAAAAGAATTTGTTAGAAATGAGAAAGTGTTCGATTATGAGAATGTTTACGGTATCAACATTCAGGTAATGTATTTTCTAACGGATTCAAATTTTTTTTCCATGTACACAATCTTTCCCAAGTTTAAATCCTGATAAATACCTGCTGACGGATCGCTCCAGACAATTAGGATTCAATCGCGATCCACAAGGACCACAGTTTTTAAATCGCGCTCGCGAAACAGAAGGACGAAATCGTGATCGAAACGATCGCGATCGATCGAGAGAAACGTTCTACTCGCTGGTGGCTGCACGACTGATTCAGGAATCGGACATGAAGTAGTGACCGACGCAGGTTTACGTTTACCTGATCGAGAGAGTGAGTCAGCCCCGGAGAGAGAAAAAGAGGGAGCGAGAGAGCGCGTGGAGGGAGTCAGAGAGGAAAGAAAGAGAGAGAGGGAAATATAGTGAGAACAACAAATAAAAGGAACGAAGAAGGAAGAGAAACCACGACGAGGTGAGCAAGAAAAGGAGAATCGAATCGAAGACGCGAGAGAGGGGAAAGGACAGGTAACAACAGGTGAGAGAGGGTCAGGAACGTAGGCGGCGAGACAGCAACGGAAGGCCCCACTTCCGGGCCCAAAAATAGAAGAAAGCCCCCCGATTTATTAAAGCTTTTTTATTTTATACGCGTTACAATATTTTTCTGCAGAAACGCGAGAAATGAAAAAATAGATAATTCTGGAAAATAAATTTTATATCAATGGACGTTGCTTTGAGGCCCAAAAATCACGGTTACATCCCTAACAACCGGCTTCGAAACAACGTTGCCAGATTGGCGGAGCCGTATCGTGAATGCAGGTTACATACACAGTTCTCTTGAAAGATGGTATCCTCTCTTCAGGGCTGAGCTATTGAATGTCTGATAACAGGGGCATGTCGGAGTGACCCGCGGTGGCTTTAGATCGCAATTGTTTAATTAATATTTAATCGCGATTACGCGACTCGAAGAATCAAGACCCATCGTGCGCGGGAAAGAGGGAAAAATGTAGTGATAAAAGATGCATTGACATGCACGCAGCTGATGATATAATGAAGTGGATCGCGTGACACGATGTTTTTTAACCTTTTATACCGGATGTGCCGAGATAAGCGGTAATTATAAATAATCGGAAAAATTATCTCTTTTTTTCCTTTCTCTCTCTCTCTCTTTTCTTTCTTTTTTTTCTATAATAATTTTTAATCTTAAGAAAATAAAAATAATTAAAATTTAAATAACAAATATAAATAATTTAAAATTAATTTTCTAAAAATTAGCTGTGCGTATCATAATTTCTATCCAAATAGGATTTAACGTAGCGTATTAATGTGAGAATTATAATGTAAACGAATGCTCTAGAGAGAGGTTCGTCGAACTTCCACGTATTACGTCAGTCTTCAAACCAGTTCGTGAGTGACACCCACGCATGAGGATCGACATGATCCATGCTCGTTCGCCATAGTCAACAATCTACAGATTGACGAGTTAGGTGTGGTCGATGTGCACGACGCAATTCTTATCTTTCTTTAAATGGGATTACCAATATGATGCTCGCTTATCGGTTGCGCATATTTTTAGCGCTGCCCCCGCAATCATTTTCGCTCCCAAGATAATTGCATTAAAAGCAAAAAATATTGTTTGAAAAAATTCTACACTTTTTTGCGTGTGTGTTTCTTTTATCATTATTATAAAAGACTTTCAAAGTTGTAAAGAGTTCTATCAATTCATTAGCGTGCTAGTTTATTGATATCTTAAAATATATAGTTATTTTTAATAATTATTAATTAGCATGCTAATAAAAATTAAGAATAATTCTTTTTGCAACAAAAAATAATGATTGATAATAAATAAGAATAAAATTAGGCTAAAATAATAAATGTAATCTAAAATTGAGAATAACGCTTTTTGCAAATAAACTTTAAATAACGGCCATTTCTATAAATGTCACCATTATAACAGAGGAAATTATTTGCTATGGTTCCCGCGGATACGAGAGAAACGGGAACGACCGGTTGTTCGAGTACTTTAATTTTTCCAGAAACGAAATTTCTTCGCCGACTGTTTAACCGCAGAGAATCCTCTTTGAACGACGCGACGATTGACCTACATTCGTAAAATCGTAAAATATCGGTCTTCCTTCTCGGGTTCCAGCTCGTGGCCATCCCCGACGCGCCCCGCGTTTTATTCCACGTGATACACGTACATAACGGAACGTCGTCCCGAAACTTTCTCCAACGGCGGCGGCGGCGGCGGTGGACCCATTAATAACCGACAATGATTATTATTTCCTGCCGTCGCCGACTGAGGTTACTAGGTGACCACGAATACGCGATTTGAATTTAGAACAACATCGACTGAGGTCGAATCCGTAAAGCTTTTACGATTGCTGTGTGATTGCGATACTAATTTTCAAAATATTATCTATTTTTGTGTTCTAGTTGCTTTCCTGAATATATAAAATCAATATTTTGAGAATTTTAATCTTGATAAAAATATTGATGAAAATCAAACGAGTATCTAACAAACAATTTTTCCTTTCACAATCGAAGATTCTTTAAAAAGATTTGACAAGTCGCAGAAAGCGACTTTAAAATTATAAAATTGTTAACATTTAAAATTTTACATTAAAAAAATACTTAAAATTTAAAATATTTAAATATTTAAAACATTTTTTTTTTAATCATATACAAAAAGAATTTTTAATAAACGGAAACTAGAATACTCGATTTTTTTTTTTTTCGTTGATCACCGTCATTGACACAACGCTAGGAAGTAAAATAATTAAATCCACAATTCGTGTGCGATATTACAATTATTATCCCGTTAAATATCCCTTTTGTCGTGGGCATTTGTTGTAGTTATCTAGGACGGACGAACGGTCTGATTCGCGTCGCATTATTTGAAATTAATTAACAGGCTTATCACGGACGCTCGCGATTATTTATACAGTCTTGAAAGAACGTGATATATGATATATTCGGCCAACAATCGCGTTGCGAATTTTCAGCCTCGATCTAATTTTTGCGCTGATTTTGACGAACGATACATGACAAAATCATGTCGTCCAGAAGATTTGCGTCAAATATATTATAATTCTCATGAAAATAAAAAACTCGATTTTTTTTTTTTTTTTTTTTTTGCAAAAATGGTCGAAAGAAAGGAATAAAATAATATATGAATACCTCTCAATCTTTTTAGAGAGGTGAGCATGTATAAAAAATTAATATATAAATAATATATAAACAAATAAATTAAATATTAATAATTACGTATAAAAAAATTCCTCGTCTTCTCTGTCTCGATCTCTTCTGTAACGATCGTCAGATGTAGTAATTGCTTCGCAAATTACAGACTGGTGTAACTAACAATAAGACACTATAAAACGATCTTTGTATCATATAACTGGTTTCATACGATCTCGGGTAGTTAGGGGGACGTGCTCCAGTTAAGATAGCAACAATCAGACCCACCTGCAGACCGTTACGCGTCCCCGCGCAAAACGATCATAAACGCGAGCGTGTCGATCATGTAAGTCCCATAATCGCTCCCAAGAGCGAGACCGAAACAAAGAGACCGTCCGGTTGCTATATAGCGCTTTCTAAGTGTCGTTTTCCTCGCATGATTATAATTCTTTCGAGAGTAAATCGAGTGTTACAAGCTTGCTTTACCGCGTAATAAATCTTCGAGAAAAATTTAAAAGTACCTAAGAGCAGATACATCGCTCCAAATATCTCGTATAAAAGATAGCAAGAGAATGAAATATATAAAAATGTGACAGAACTTGAAAAATATAGCATCATTGTGTTAGCAATTACTGTGGCTGCCCGATAAAGACGGAAATCTTGCGGAAAGATTGATTTTAGGACAGGAAATTAGCTCAATAGTTAGGTAAAATTAAAGATAATACAAGTAAGATAGATTAAACTAGAGGCAAGCGTATACAATTTCTTTATAAATAGTAAAAACTTGAGAATCTCACATCAATCTCACATCTATTTCGATTAAAATATAATTTTAAAATTTTATTATAGGATAAAAAGGGAGGACAAAATATAATTCTATCATAGACTTAATTAATTAATTTAAACAACAATTTCAAAATTCGTATATAAAATCAATATTATGGCGCATAAATATTCCCTATATATAAGGGTTTGATACGTCTAATTTATAAAACCTTTTACACGCACCTTCCCCTTAAATATTCACCCTCATTTATCTCAAAATTCGACGTTCGCACCCGCATCGTCCGCGATGTTCGCGTGCGCATGTAAATTAAGCAGCACAAGGGGTGGATACGTGGGGTGCTAACATGAAGCATTTCCTTCCGGTTGTGTCACGTGCGAAGGAAAGCGACGGGTGTTGCGAGGGTAGCGACGCCGAGATGATCGGTAACGGGAGACGGGGCGCCGGCGAGAGGGATCGCGATTTGGAGGAGGATGACGAGCTCGAGAGCAGGGAGGAGAGGAGCTCGGAGAGTGGAGGAGGTGGTGGGGGTTTCGGTGGTTGGAGGTCCCACTTGCTCGGTGGGCTAACGCAACGCGTCAAATCCTGGTACTGGGGCGCCAGGCCCCTCGTAAGTTTTCCTATCCAGAGAACACAATCTCTCTCTCTTTCTCTCTCTATCTTTTTTTTTTCTTTTTCTCTCTGACACGCACGATTTTATCTATTCGTTTCTTTTTTCTTCTTCTCTTGTCGTTTCTTTTTTATCTCATGCTCTCCGTCGCCATTCGACACTTTGCACTGTCTCGCGGAAGGATGAGAGGTCAAGGGTAAAAAAGGGAGAAAAAGAAACAATATGTTGGAAGATAAAACCGGCAAGTTTGGATCAAAAATTAAATTGAAAAAGAGATTTTAAATTCTTATTTTTTAGGTATATTATATGATGTACTATTCTAATTTTATTCTAATTTTTAATTTTTCAATCTTCTTTATTTTTAAATTTTATTTATTTAATATCAACAATAGTCGAAATTTTTGTATTCATCTTTTGAATATGGAACTCTATTTGATAATTAGGTCGTTATTCTAAATTATTATGAAACTCTTTGTTTTAATATTTTTAATCCTAAATTTTTATTTTTATATTATTACAGATTTTTATTTCATATTTTAATTTAATTTTATAATTTTTATAATTTTTAATTTTACTTTAAGATTTTCTTCATTTTTGAGAAATATGCAATCTATTTTTTTGTAGTCGCCCTTGAAAAGGTGAAAACATGAATACGACCATCGATTCGATAAACGAACATGCCTCGATCAAAAAGAACAGGGTATAATCAGTGCAACGAGTAGCGATTTTCATGTCGGAGCGAGGAAATGTGAAGAGCTCGTTTCATCCGGATCTCGCCGGAAGTGCCGATAACATCTCGGCGAAAAATTACAATGCGAAGAGAAATCGTAATCGAGTCCATCGCGCAATTGCTTAACGCATTCAATGTCATAATAGAAAGAGAAATTATTATTGTAAATTATATCTGAATATTTTCTTCTTTTATCTATTTTATTATATTTAAATAAAAGATATATCTATATATTTTTTATTTTCACTTTTATCATTTACAATCTATAAAATGTCAAAAAGTTTACTTTTTATTATTTTATTTTTATTGTTATTTATTTGTTTATTTAAAGAGGACAAATTTTTTTACTACATTATTAAACTACGATTCGTGCGTTGTACAGTTCAATTTTTTCTTTTTCGCACGAACAATCGCGCTGTACACAATCAAATTATGAATTATAACGAAGTATAATTGACAAGAGGAAAGAAGGAAAATAAGACTGCAGCGCGCAGTGTAATAAAGTCTCGCAATAAAACTTGCATTATACTAAAACAACGAGACATCGTAAACTTCCGGCGAGGCCGTGGTTGCATCTGTCGCATTTAAAATATCCGGATTGCAAAATGATACAAGAAAAAAAGTAATAATTCGCGAGTGATGTAAAAAATTAAATGGATAAAAAATACGATTAATTGATAATTGAATTATTTCGATCATACGATAAACGAGAAATAATTAGAAAATTATACCTTTCGGAAAGATCTATTCAATTTCTTTCGCGGATAATAAAAGCCTAAAAAGAAGACTGAAAGGATAAATTACGCAGATAAACGCAGCGCGACGCGAAAATTAATGTTCGATTCGAGCTATTGAAAACATTTGCTCACTTAGGCATGAATTCTCTTTCCTAATTAAATTTCTCTTTTTTTCTCTTTCTTTCTTTCTCTCTCATACACATACACTCACACACATACACACGTATCATACGATCAAGTGTCCTTATGCTCCTAGAGCTAGCAAGATTAGTCGACATAGCGTTAGGTGTTGTACGTGTTTTTTATCTTAGATGTCTTGCACATGCTACTTTTTACGATTTGTCCTTAAGCACGATCACTATTTTATAATTATACGTATATACAGAGCGTCTCATCTGTCTCATGTCGAATTTCGATCATAGATTCAGACGAATCTGGAGCTAATTTTCCTCTCGTAAAAATTTCGAGGAAACTTCAATTAAAGCGTAAACTCAACAAATATGTAGAAATTAATAAGAGATTGGATAAAAGGAATTATTTCCGTAGCAAAAATGGTAAGAATAATAAAAAATTCTTTTTCTTAAATTTAAACAAATTTTACGTCCTGTTTCTCTTCATAATTTCTGTTCCCTTTTAATAACAGTTTTATGTATTTAAGTGCTTCATTGTTATAAATGGCGAGAATATAAAATTGCGATGCGGAATAATCCTCTGTTAGCATGAAATCTTTGCTAAGCAAATAGTTATCTTGTCAACTCCATCGCAAAGTCCGTCGTCGAAATTTGATTGGATGAGACTTTCTATATATACACATATATTATACATACGGGCACGGGGATGTATATGCGCTATATATTCACATAGATGTCTTGGCATGCACGATCACTTTACTCACATGAAAAACAGAGAAGAAATTTCGCGATTTAGTTAAACAGCAATCTAGCAAGATAGTTGTTGTTTTTTAACGGTCTTAATTGCTTCGTTAATTAATCGATAGAGATGCTGGAAAGATTCCTTAGCGGCTTGTGTATAAAAATAAACAATTTCTGCATCCCATGCGAGAGAACATTATCTTAAATTAAAGGAAAACATTGTATTAGAAGAAAAACAAAGTCAATTACATCAGGATGCATCCGGATGAGAGGAATTTTATATGACTCGCGGGATTAATACATCTTGACAAACTTATCTGGTTAATACGTAAAGTAATCAAATAAAAACTTTTGTAATATAAGTTTTCTTGTATAACAGAAACTTTCGATCAAACGAAAAATCGTGTGAATCATCATGTGGCAAGAGCAGGACTCATTGTCCCGATGTGTATGCAAGCGTGCGTGCGTATTCGCACTGCACTTGAGCATACTTTCACCATTTTCGCTTTACGTTTCTCTCAAGAAACAAGTCGATCTAATTATCTCGATTTTTGCATCTTTCGGCCGTGAATTCGACAAATTTGACAACTGATAAGAGATGCTAAAAATTAATTATTTTTTCGTAAAGTGTTATTAATTATTATTAGTTAGAATAGACATATTATGTATATAATCCATATTTGATTCAGTAGAAATGTGATATACCCTGTACAATTTTAGCGTAATTGATTAGCATAATTAAAATTTGATATTAGAGTAATTATAAAATCTAATCAATTTTTTTCATAGAACACACACATTAATTGTGTATTATGTGTGTGTCAAGTTTAATCCAATAGGGAAATCCACCTTCTTTATACAATATAATTTATTGAATAACTTATATAAAGACTAGTATCGAACAGTAGGGGATATTCCATTTAAATGGCAATTTTAATTATGTAGTGTGATAATTTTTTAACCAAAAATCGATCATTATCGTGCCAATCCAATTGCATGAGTGTCGAGTGATGGTTAAAAAAGTTCGAGAAATATAGCTCAAGAAAAATGATCGGGGTCTTTTCTATCACATCTTCTAATATTTTTTATATCAATATAATACATAGCTATATATATATATATCATCTAACATCATCGGGGCCCGTGCGACGGCCAGAGAAGGAAAGAAAGAGAGAGAGTGAAGTAGAGCACTTTCATAAAGAAGAAATAGGTAGGTCGCCCGCGCGAATATCGCGCGGCGGGGTCCCGCCCCGATCGATTGCGGGCCCCCGGGCATTATCGAGCAACCTCGTGTCGATCGAGGCTCGAGATTTCGCTCGTCACCGTCGCGTTCGATTTTTCTCGTCCGCTTTATCCCCTGGACCGCGCTCTTGCCCATGAGATCTGCGTGAAAACATTATTTCAATCTAACGCGACAAATTGCCGATACATTGGAACCTGAAAGCTAACTAAATGCCCGTTGTTCGGGCGTTACATGCGATTATGCAATCGAGGAAATGATTTTGGAAATTTTAGACATGTTTCGCACGTGACATGCACAAGACAAATCGCTTTTCGTATCGTTCTACTTATGAAAAAAGCAAAAAATATATATTTCTGGACAGTTTTTAATTCATCTCATGTCATTATAATTGCCATGAATTAAATCTGTCGAGAAATATGTATTATAACATATATATATATATATATATAAATATATATTTTTTTTTCTATTATCACATGCATTTTTTTATCGATTTAAATTTTTAGTAGACGATAATGATGAAATAGAAGAGACCCGGTGTAATAGTTCTTACAATTAGCGGAGTAATTAGTCGTACATTGAGTCAGGTTATTAGTTATAGCCAGTATCGTTGATAAAGCGTCGCGATTGAAAAAATATCTCTTCTATCGATATGTCATTTCTACTGCGTTCACTCAAACGACGATAAGCCGGTCGTGTCAGAATCAGTGCCGACATGGATGGCGACGATTTATATATATAGTTGTACGATAACGACAACACCACCGCCACCACACCACCACAACTACCACTCTCTCTATCTCTCCGAGCACCACCAACACCCAACTGCTACCAGCCTGCCCTCAGCAAGCATGACTCAATTTTTCAACATATACATATATATATACACACACATATATATATATATATATATATATATACTTGTGTGGTCTATATATACGTACATATATTATATACATACTGATATGTATAGCCGTACACTATGTGTACATTATATGTTTGCGCGTCAGCACATATAATTTCACATACATGCACATGGATGATGTAATATTGCACGCAAAGGAAAAGCGGAACGATGGAGTCGAATGCAAGAAAAAGCAGGTGTAAATGCGTTGAGAAAGAATTTCTGGCATTTTTTTTATCGTCAAATTATATATATTTTTCAATTTCTCTCGATTATTAAATTCCTCCTAATTAAATTCAAAAATTGCGAGAAGGCTAAAAATTGCACTATTACTCTTAAAATATCTTCTTTGTTTTTTATTGAAAGTTCGCTATTAAAATTATAGAATGAAAATATAAAGATACTTTCACTACCATAATTAAGATATATCACTTTCCATTTCTTCACTACTGTTTTTATTTAATATCCACAGCACGCTAGATAAGGCATGCGAGATGAGAAAGTATCGAGAGGATAGAATTGGAATGCACCACGAATATGCATCCGTTTCAAATACACTTCTCTCTATCAGCTTCCGATCGGAGCACTTTCGCGTTTTATACGTCGGGATTAACATTTCACGGAGGAATGTGCTTTAAAGTTACGAGTGTTCGAGAATTATAGTGTTATTCGCGCGCCTCTACAGATATTTATATTTCGTACGAGAAGCCTACGTAAGGACTACCAGAACGCTCTT